ATGCCTATGATCTTAGTGACTTAAGAAGTTGAGGCAGGATTCCAAGTTTGAGGCCAGCCTGGGCAAGTTAATAAGACCCTGTCTCAAAATAAAAAAGTCTAGATATATAGCTCAGTGGTAAAGCACCCCTGGATTCAATCTTCAGTATGTGAAAAATAAAAAAAATAAACTAAAATAATTAAAAGATTATTTAGATCAAATTATATGGATCAGGATTACGATCAAGTATAGTATTCTTTATAATATTTGTTTATTTTACAATATTTAGATGAACATTTTAAATGTTTCTAAGGATCCAGCTAAGAAACATCATTTTTAGATCTATATTCAATCTAGCTTTTATCACTATAAATAAAATTTTACAGTTATATACCTGTAATTTATGGATGTATTAATGATACAAGTCTTATTAATGATATGAGTCCTATTTGGGGGGAAAAAAAAAGGACCATGTCCAACATCCATTTTGGAAAAATGAACCAGGTAACATGTGTCTGGCATATATATACCAGCATTCAGTAAACTGCTGATGAAAGATCCAATGCCATCACAATCAGAGATTTCCCCAACTCCTATACAGTCACTGCTGCTATTTTTCCACAGTGAGCTGGGGATGTACCTCAGTGATACACCATGTGCCTATCTTGCTCAAGGCCCTGGGTTCAATCCCCAGCATGGCAGAATATTTTCTCAAACTATGTTTTCTTCTATTCAATTTTAACACCTATTCCCTTACAAGGGAGTAGCACAGTTTGTGTTTTCAAACTTGAAGGGCCTAGAGGATACAGTTTGTCCAGTGCTTTTCTTTATGTGTACTAGGGATTCAACACAGGGCCTCAAATGTGCTAGGCAAGTGCTTTACCAATGAGCTACATCCCTTGCCCTCTGATTATAACAAAATTAACCTGGAACAATGCACCTTCCACTGTGGCACAAATAACATGGTGGGAGGTCAGAAACACTTTGCTGGAACAAAGGGTGCCACTGGCCTGGTCAGATTCCCTAAAATGAGTCCTGCATGGACACAGTCCACATTTTTCTTTCTGAGAATGGTATATCTATCTGTACTTCTTTATATGGAATCTTGCTCTTGGTAGTTTCTGGCCCAGGAACAAACCACTGAAGCTTCTAGAAGACAGTTTGAAAAGAAATGCTGCAAGGCTGAGAAGCTAAAAGAGTTGACCCTATGGACACCAAAAGTACAAATGCTCTTTTCATGAGTAACTATAAACACAACGTTTTAATAAATGAGTTCTAAGCTATATAAAACAAACCAAGTATAATTTGCCAAGACTTAGAATAAACCTGATGTAAAATTTRAGATGTTATCAAAATTATTATTTTGTTGTTGTCATTTTTGATACTGGGAATTTTATCCAGGGGCACTTTACCACTGAGCTACATCCCCAGCCCTTTTAATTTCTTTCTTTTTTTAATATTTATTTTTTAGTTGTAGAAGATGTGATACCTTTATTTTATTTATTTTATGTGGTGCTGAGGATCGAACCCAGGGCCTTGCATRTGCTAGGCAAGTGCTCTACTTTTGAGCCACAACCCCAGCCCTGGACACAATATCTTTATTTTACATTTATGTRGTGCTAAGGATTGAACCCAGTGCCTTGTGCATGCTAGGCGAGCACTCTTTCCACTGAGCCACAACGTAGCCCCTGACCTTTTTGAGACAGGGCCTCACTAAATTGCTTAGGTTGGCCTCCAACTAGCAATCCTCCTGCCTCAGCCTCCCAAATTGCKGAGGCTGGCCTATAACTTATGATCTTCCTGCCAGAGCCTCCCAAGTTGCTGGGATAACAGGTGTACACCACCACAGCCCAATTTTCTTTTTTTAAAACATGAAACAGAAAAGCACCATAATTTCTAATATCAAGGCCCAACCATAGCTATAACAATCACAATCTAATCTGGGCCAAACATTTACTTCTACCTATATTTCCTCTTCAGTTCTCATTGAAGGTAAATGCCTCAGTATTTATTGATGATTTTGGGGATTTTATTTATTCATTCATTCATGGTGCTGGGAATTTAATCCAAGGGTACTCTACCACTGGGTTACAATCCTCTTTATTTTTTGAGACAGGGTCTTTCCCAGGGTGGCCTTGARCTTGTGATTTTGCTGCCTATTCCCTTACACATTTTAGAGTAAATAGACAATTAAGATAATGTGTGCTTATAGCAGGGCTCAGTGGTGCACACCTCCCAGCAGCTCGGGAGGCTGAGACAGGAGGATGGTGAGTTCAAAGCCAGCCTCAGCAATGGTGAGGTGCTAAGCAACTCAGTGAGACCCTGTCTTAAATAAAATACAAAAGAGGGGAAGTGGCTCAGTAGTTGAATGCCCCTGAGTTCAATCCCCAGTCCCCCCCACCACCCAAAAAATTAATGTGTGCACTTAAATCATTAAAACTTAGCTGCCTTAGTGATACTACAACTTCCAAAGAGATCTAAAAGGTAGCAAAAGGTGAAATTATGATTGTAGCAGTTTCATCAGGTTTTTTATGAAAGTGCTCCAAAAACTCATGGTTATGGGACAGAAGATCCGTGGTTGACACAATCTTAGAAGTAATGTAATCTGGTTTTTCAGTATTATATTCACTCAAAAAAAAAAAAAAAAAGATAGCACTTCATGCCTCTTTTAGAGTATTTTTTTTTTTTTTTCCTTTTTTTCTCCTATGCTGTGGACTGAACCCAGGGCCTCATACATGCTAGGCAAGTGCCATACCACTTAAGCCACATTCCCCAGCCCTGGTCATTTTTAGTTCTAGTCAAATAAGGAGACTGTAAGTAGTTCTTTTCTCAGAGGCAAACCAAACAATGAAGCATTAGAACACTTCCAATAGATAGCTTCAAACCTCTACTTTGCTGCATTTCTTTGGAACAGCATGGGCTTTCCWTCGTGAACTCTGAAAATGTTGCTGACCCCTTGTGTTCAAGGCCCTGGCTGCAATGGTCTTTCCACTTTGCTGTGTGAGAAGGGAGGAAAACTTCAAAAGGCCACATTCTAGGGGGTTATCTATAAGAGACATATTTTTAACTTGCTTTTTGTGACTTGGTGAAATATTAAATACTAGTTTCTCCATTTTCTAAAATATTTTTACTTCCAGGGCCAGATAGAATGGAAAATTACATCTTGCAGCTTGTTCACTGGGGTCTGTGGGAATGCTGACAGTTTTAATTTACATACTAATGTTGGAAAACATTCAGAAAGGCAAAGCACTCTTTGGTTTTAGGAATGAACAGAGTAAGGGGGAAAAAAAAAACATGGACAGAAAAGTAGTTGAAAGGTTCTAGGCGAAATAATCTGGATTTATTTGTTCTGTAATAAATTCAAGTTATCCATCCTTCACTGTAGTGAGATGCCATTTCAATGGTAGAGCTGCAGTCTTTTCTTTTGCTAAAGATGACCTTTCTTTGGCTGAATGTCTTCAACAGAAGATCTAACAATCCATTTGTCCCAACTYCAACTCTTTCCTGGGAACAACTCCTTCATCCCTCAGTTTCTTCCTGAAAAACCATCCACCTAGAATACCTATTCACCACTCAAGAGGATAAAATAAAACACTCATTTGGTTGGTGGCTTGCTCATWGGAACTTATTTCTGCTTCAGCTGTAGTTCTTTGAGAAATACAGGAATTTTTGCCAAAATATTAGCCCAACCAAAGAATGTTGAAAAATTAGCTGCCTTAGTGATACTACAACTTCCAAAGAGATCTAAAAAGTAGCAAAATGTGAATAGGAAACATAGTTTACAAGTCATTTAATAATTGTAAATACAGATTTTCAACTTAATATTTGATATTTTGAATATCAAAATTGTGAAACAAAATCTRTCATATGGCTCTTGGAAGAGCTTTTATTTTTTTTAATTTTTATATTTTTGGTGCTGGGGATCAAACCCAGGGCCTTATACATGCAAGGCAAGCACTCTACCAACTGAGCTATATCCCCAGCCCCTCTTGGAAGAGCTTTTAAATGGTAGATTAACTCCAGAACTTCCTTTTTTCTTATTAAGAGAGGGGAATGCACAGTAATCCTATGAGGTAGGTCTTATCCCATTGAACAGAAAAGAAAGTGAGACTCAAAAAATGAAGTAACCAACAGAAGGTTAYACAGCCATGATTGTGTCAGTGTCTTGCAAGCATTGAAAACCTGGCCTCCTGTAAAGGAAGATGATTTTAAATTGAATTCACTAATGTGATTAATGACAAACTATTTCACTGATGTTGGTAATAAAGGTTTAAGGGGAACTAAGATTAAGGACCCCAGGTTCAMGTGAGTTTCTTTCAAATGCAAAATATTCCTTATTTTCCTAGTTTATTAGGGGGAAGGTACAGGGAAGAATCTTGCTACCACTTAAAAAACAATCAAACATAGTAATTCCATTCCTAGGTCTATACCCAAAGGAACTGAAAACAGGWATTCAAACAAATAACTGTACACAGATGTTCATAGCAAAACTATTCACAACAGCTAAAAAAGTGAAAACAACCCAACCCAGGTATTCATAGATACATAAATAAACAAAATGTGGTATTCAGCCACAAAAAGAAATAAAATACATGCTCCATGTGGATTAACCTTGAAAATACACTAAGTAAAAGAAGCCAGACACACCAAAAGGTCACTTATATGATTCTATTTACATGGAATACGCAGTTTGAGATAAAACCCTAGAGCAGAGAGCGGGCTAATGGTTGCTGCAGGGCCRGGAGGAGATGGGATGGAGGATATCTGCTTGCTAGGTTGAAGGTCTCCTTTGGGGGTGATAAAAATGCTTCCAAACTAGAGAATGGTGGTGGCCGTACAAGACTGCAAATATGCCAATTGCCACTGAACTGGACATTATCAAATGATGGAGTTGTGGCACATGCCTGTAATCCCAGCAACTCAGGAGGCTGAGGCAGGAGAATCACAAGTTCAAAGACAGCTTCAGCAACTTGGTGAGGCAAGCAATTTAGCAAGACCCTGTCATCTCAAAATAAAAAAATAAAAAGAGCTCGGGATGTTACTCAGTGATAAGTGCCCCTGGGTTCAATCCTCAGTACAAAAAAAAAGGTGACTTTTATGTTATACAAATTTCACCTCCATTTAAAAAGCACAGAAAAAAGAAATGATAATCAAAAAGTTCTAGATGAATAGCCAGAAATTTTTCTTAATTTGTCACAATTTCATTGAATTTTTGATGGTCATAAACTAGTATATATATAAAAAAAAAAATAACACATTAGCCAGGCATGGTGATACACGCCTGTAGTTCCAGCTACTCAGGAGGGCTGATGCAGGATCACTGAAGCATAGGAGTTCAAGATTACAGAGACCCTGTCTCAAAAACAACAAAAATCATTAAAAGTTCCAAATAAGGCATCAATGTAGCTGAGGTCCTTTAATATGTTCAGTTGGCAAAGCACCTAGTAGAGTTTACAGTATACAAGAAGTGTTAAAAATGCTTTTAATTTGTATAAAGTGCAAAGAAACACTACTGAGAAACATATGAAAACATATAAAATGGCCAAAGCTAAYGTACATGCACAGGGACACAGCTATATATTTGCTACTGCCTAGACTCAGACACCCAAGAGAGAAGCTTGCTTTTCCTCCTAATTTATTTTGTGTCTCTCCAAAAACTGAAGAGTTGATAGTAGCTTACTGTTGCCACCCTCTGAGTTTGGCAAGAGGTTATACACAGGGAGGGTTTATAGCTGCCATTTCCTATTGCTTCCCTAGTGACACAGCACRGGAGGTTAAGTTACTTCAGGAGCCTCTCAACAGGGCTCCCATTGTTCCSAGTTTGAAATTCAGGGATACAATGGGCCCCATTCATACAGAGCTGAGCTCTCAGGCTGGGGAACTGCAAGGCTGGGGATTTGGATCCTTAATGCCCAGCTAACTTTGGGTTGGGATATAGAGTTTTCATAGACACTGACTTGCATCAACACAAGTCAATTATTTTTTAATTAAAAAACAGTACAGAATAAAGAAATAAAACTCATGGGTGATAAACTGGGAGTCAGGACACTTAAGTCTTATCCCCAGTCTCTAATGTGACTTTCAGCAAATCACTTGGCTCTTAATGTTTCAATTTCCTAGTTTGAAAAATGAAAATGGATTTCTAAGATCACTTAGATTCTGAATTCTATGAATATATATGAAGTCTAGTGATGTTGCAATGTTCATTCTAAAGATACGTTATGAACAGAAAAGAATCATTAGCTCATATCTTCCCACTCACTATAAGCACTTAAAAATAAGGACCCTTAAAAAAAATAAGTTCATTTTCTGTTCTGTCTTAAACAGACAAATCATAATGAATAAAGTTCAGTGGGTCCCAATGTCCCAATAAGTCCAGGGTCACTCAAGCAGGGAGCCCTATACAAAGTAGAATGATGAAGAGTATAAACAGAAGCCATAGTATGTTTTCATGTCACCAGTTCTTGGGATATTAATGCATTTTGAGATTYTCTTTTTTTGCAATGACTCAAAATCATCAAAGAAAAAACACTATTTACAGTAAGAATGTGATCAATGTCAGAAGCTTCCACACTGTCATTTTTTTGCTTTTTCAACCTCAAAACTTGCTAGGGCAAGAACTTTGTCTCCAGAGCCTAAAGACAAAGACACATAATAAAAAGATTATTTCAAATGCATTTACAATTTCAGATAAAGAGCAAAAAATTATCACACAGATAYTGAAAGAAAAAAATAGAATTAGCTTTCATTATCAATTCATTAACCCCTATACTGCCATTCCTATTTCCTTCTCTGCATAAACAATCCAGCCACAAAGAATGGATTGTTGGCTATAAACCCTTATAAGCTTCTAGATATGAAACAGAATATGTAACATTTTAGCATACTTTTAATTACATCTAGCTCATGATTATTTTAAAACGTTAGACTACAAAGCTGTATGTAAGGGTGCACACCCATAGAGCGCCCAGGAGGATTGCTTGAACCCAAGAATTTAAGACCAGGGTAACACAGCAAGACCTAATCTCCAAAAAAACAAAACAAAACAAAACTAAACAAAAAAAATCTTATTTTTAAAAATTAGCGTTTATTTCCCAGTAAAACACTGGGAAATAAAACCAATACAAAGGATTTGTAAAGAAGACAACTCTGGTGTCACTCTAAACTCAAGAAAAGGTCATGTTATCTCAACTCTGCTCTCTGTCAGTCTGGAATAGTATATGTGTCCAGTTTTCAGGAATATGAGAACAAGGGCCTGGGGGTGTAGCTCAGGGGTAGAGTGTATGCTTAGCATGCAAGAGGATGTGGGTTCAGTCCCTGAGAAAGGAAGGGAAACAAGAACACTCACCAAGGTCAGTGGAGACTTTCTCAAACTGGCTGAGTATGGCCCCTGCATTTGCTGATAAGAAGGCCTCATCATCTGTAGTCAGCTAAACAAAATGAAACAAAGCCCAGTGGAGTAGGTGCAAATGTTAGGAGCAGGTTCTAAGAACCACAGTTAAGAATGTCTTAGGTCCACAAACTAGATCGCAGGCCAAGAATTTCTGTAAAAAATACTTAACATTTCTCTTTATACCTAATAAATAAAATTAAATACTGGTACCTTCTCTCCAAGTTTTCTGAGAGCTGTTAGTATTTCTACTTTCTGTTGAGTGTACAGGTCTCTCTCCAGCTTTCCTACCATCAGATCTCTATCCATCTATAATGAGTGAAAGCAAGGCAAATAAGTGAAAAACATTCTGCGCACAAAATCTAGCATTTCAGGTCTACTTCTTAAAAAAAAAAAAAAAAAAAACACAACTCTTTAGTTCATTAATATTATAAAGAACTATAGAAACAATCCAAGACAAACATGATGAAATGCTTTTATGGAGTTTTAATAGACTTTAATAGTAATCATAACTACTGTCTTAATTATCAACCCTATTGAAGGTTAGCAGTAAGTCAACAGCTTCCTTTGGAGAAGAGCTATCCTTTAAGAAATTCCTTATGTTACACATAACCTCACTACCAAATACACTAATAGCATGTACCACWTATACACTGGTACTTTTCTAAGTGCTTTTATTTTTTTACTTAAATTTTATTTTTATAGTGCTGAGGATAAATCTGTATTTTGATCTGGATCATGGCTCCRTGGTAGAGCACTTGCCTAGCATGTATGAGACACAGGGTTCAATGCTTAGTACAAATTTTTCAATTCTTAAATAAATTTTTAATTTGTTTTAGTTGTCGATGGACCTTTATTTTTTTCATATGTAATACCAAGAGTTCTACTATTTAACTACTTGCCTGACCCCCCCTTTTTTTCCTTTTTTTTGATWTAATGTCTCACTAAATTGCCCAGGCTGGCCTCAAACTTGAGATCCTCCTGCCTCAGCCTCCCCAGTAGCTAGGATTATAGCATGTATCACACCACTGGCTGTTCCCAGTCCTATTTTTGAAAAATTTATTTATGTATTTATTTAGGTACTAGGGATAGAATTCAAGGACTTACACATGCTAGGCAAGCACTCTACCACWGAGCTACACTCCCAATTCTTATGTTTTTGTTTTTGTTTTTTTGAAACAGGATCTCTTATGTTGTCCAGGCTGTCCACAAATTCCTGAGCTCAAGTGACCCTCTTGCTTCAGTCTCCTAAATAGCATGGATTATAGATATATGCCATTGTGTCAGGATTCTAAATGCTGTCACATATAGTATTTCATTAAATCCATAACAACCATAAGAGGTAGGCACTATCTTCACTTTGTAATTACAGACAGGGAAACTAAGGCACTAAATGAAATAATCTGGCATAGGTCACATACCCTAGTATGTGAGGCAGGGATTTAAATTCAGCCAAACTGATCCAAATCCTGTTTTATCATTGCTAAAGAATTACCCATATTTGCAAATAATTTGTTAGCCCTTAATTATATCCAAGTCCATAAACAGACATCTGGATGTTATCAGGTTTTCAAAGATGCCTGAAATTCTTAGATAGCACAGCACTGAATGTGCATGGAAGCAATGCTGTTAATGAATTCTCAGTGGGATTTCAAGTWAGAAAACCAGAAGCAAACGGTAAAACATTAAAGGAGGAGTAAGAAGTCGAAGGAWTTTAAACTGCTATAAACTTGAAAAATCTGCATTATCAACCATAATTGCTCAAGGTACTAATTTTGTCAAAAAATTGTCAATGGTGGCTCTAAAATCAACTGTAGACTATTACAATGAGCAAATTCTCAGGCTAGGAAGAAAAGTAGTGACGGGATCAATTTAAAGAAACTTTACCTCTGCTAATCTTGTCCGAAGCTGACCTGGTTGTTTCTTTGCAAACAATCTGATGACCTCTGGAGTTTTAAAGGCCTGGCTGATAGCTGCCTGAATAGCCTAAACACACAGGAAGGCAAAAACCAAGGAAAATATTACAATGAATCAGATTTGCAATAATTGAGTGATGGCATTTTTTTTGTATACTGGGGCTTGAACCCAAGAGCACTTAACCACTGAGCCACATTCCTCACTCATTTTTAAATTTTGAGACAGAGACTTGCTAAGTTACTTAGGCCTCCCTAAATTGCTGAGGCTGGCCTTGAACTTAGGCTCCTCCTGCCTCAGCCTCCTAACCAACTAAGCATGCAGGAGTGAGCCACCATGCCCAGCCTAACTGATAGATTTTTATTAATAGGTCTTTGTTCATCAAACACTATTACAAAATCAGTTTTCTTTTTTCTTTTTTTTTTTTTTTTTTAAAGAGAGAGTGAGAGAGGAGAGAGAGAGAGAGAGAGAGAGAAAGAATTTTTAATATTTATTTTTTAGTTCTCGGCGGACACAACATCTTTGTTGGTATGTGGTGCTGAGGATCGAACCCGGGCCGCACGCATGCCAGGCGAGCGCGCTACTGCTTGAGCCACATCCCCAGCCCCTGAAATATATTTATTTACCAGGAAAAAACAAACAAAGAAGCRTAAGTTATGCTCACCAGCTGCATTCCACTCAGTTCATCTACCAGAGTCATATTTCCAGACATGATCTTCTTCAGTGAATCATTGAATTCACTTAGTTGCTCCAGAGTTTCCTTTTTGGTTTCTTCATATTCATCTGTATCAAGTTCTTCTCTGAAGTACAGTGAAAATCATAATGCAGAAAAATAACAAAGTTCCAAGTGAAAAAAGCAATCTTAGTACTTGTATACTAGAGGAAAGCTGAAGGGAAATATCTAAATGCTAATGATTGGGGCTGGGGTTGTGGCTTGGTGGTAGAGTGCTCACCTAGTGTGTACGGAGCACTGGGTTTGATCCTCAGCACCACATAAMAATAAAATAAAGGTATTGTGTCCAACTACAACTAAAAGAACAAAAAAATTTAAAAAACACTGCTKATTACTGATATGAATGTGTCTAGACAGCTGTAAGGGTAATTTCTTACAATCTGATTATTTTGATAATGATTTTTTTTTCTTTTTCTTTTTGGTGTTGGAGTTAGAACCCAGGGCCAACAGCATGCACTCTACCACTGAGCTACACCCCCAACCCCTAAACATTTTTCATTTACCAAAATAGGAAACACGTAACAAACTACACACCACCTTCCCTGTAGGCAGTCAATGGTATCAMTTGAACAAAGCCAAGCCTTAGTTTATCTATAATGCTTTGGGTAATTATAGTACCTACCTAATAAGGTTGCTATGAGGTATTAAATGAGATAAGCAAAGAGCTGGCATATATAGTAACAGGTATCAGATAGTTTTGTTTTGTGGTACTGGAAATTAAACCAAGGGGTGCTCTACTACTCAATATAGCCCCAGCCCCAGTCCCAGCCTTGCCACTTTTAAAAAATTTTCATGCAGGGTCTCACTAAGTTGCTGACACTGACCTCAAAATTGTGATCCACCTACCTCAGCCTGTGGGGTTGCTGGGATTACAGGCATGTGCCTCGGCACCTACCAAGTAGCTGTTGCTATCATCATCATTAATGGTAGTAAACATTTTGTGTATACTACACAATAATAGCAATGAAGTACTTGTCATCTTAGTAAGAAATTATTTTAATTCACCAAGCAAGTCATTTATTATTTTTTTCTTAAACAAGCAAAGTACAGATTCATTTTTAATTTTTTAGTTGTTGATGGACCTTTATTTTTATATGTAGTACTAAGAATTGAACCCAGTGTCTCACACATGCTAGGCAAGCACTCTACCATAGAGCCATGACCCAAATCAAAGTACAGATTTATTGAAGGTGAAGGTGAGAGTAGAGTGGAGTGGGTCAAGTGAGAAAGAGACCTGAGGCCCCAGTGT